ACCTCTTTCTGACCTACAGATGACATTATTATTATTCAGGATTTATAGAGCGCCAACAGTTTGCGCAATGCTTTACAATATAAGGAGGACATTATTATTATTATTATACATGATTTATATAGCACCAACAGTTTGCGCAGCGCTTTACAATATAAGGAAGACATTACAATCACAATATAATTAAAGACAACATGGTAAGGAGAGCCCTGCCCCCGAGGACCTACAATCTAAATGGGGAGGGGCAAGTGATACATGAGGAGGTAGCTGCGTGGGGATAAATTGATTAGTGATAACCTGACCCTGGTTGACATCCTTCTGACCTAATTTAAACCTCATACTGACCAGCTTATAACCTTCTTCTGACATGCAGTTGACCTCCATTTGACATGCAGTTGACCTCGGTTGAAGCTAAATTAAGCTGCTTTTGTATTCCCATTGACTTTCATGGAAATAAATCAGTAATAATGATATAACAAGGGAGACCCCTCGAGAAAGCCAGGATTACTACTGAAACATTTGGGATCGCTATACTTTTAAAGTAAACTCCTCGGCAGAGCATACACATGGCAACAATTACAACTGGATACTCTTTCCTATCTGGCTCGCTGATGCGGTAACAGGTTCTACCTCATGTGATCATTACAGACAGCAGAACATTCCAGGAGCTAGAACAGCCAATTAGGTGGCTTAGCCCTGGAGCGGCCTACTGACTGGCGGTGGGTACAGATGGTACCTGAGAGGGTACCACTCTGCCCTGCTGTGAACTGCAATGATAGGAGGAGATACTGTCAATCAAACACTCTTACCCACCCAATCAGGCAGTTCTGCTGGTGCCGTAGGCAGGTGGAAGCTTGTTTGATTGACAGCGACTCTTCTTGTCATTGCAATTTACGGCAGGGCAGACTGGTGCCACCCCCCACTCAGGCTGTTTGGTTCATGACACAGCAAGGTGGTCACGTGACCTGGGACAAATGCAACTGAGAAGGGTATATAAAAGGATTTTTTTTTAAATATACAACTCTCTCTAATTTAATTTGGGAGGAAATGCCCATTTAAAAATATTCATAATATTTTATACATTATATAAAATTATATAACTATGTACACTATACACCAAATGGCCGAAGTTTATGGACACCTGCCCATCACACCTACATGAGCTTCTTGGATACCCCATTTCCAAACCATGGGCATTCATATGGAGTTGCCCTCCCCTCTTTCCCACTTGGAGCTATAACAGTCTCCACTCTTGGAAGATTTTGGAGGGTGTCTGTGGGAATTAGTACCCATTCAGCCAGCAGAGCATTTGTGAGGTCAATACTGATGTTGAGGACCACAGTTTTCAGTGGAGCCTTGACGTAGCAGTGTGGCTTCAACGTGTATTTTATTATTATTTATTATTGTTATTATTATATTTATACTTTAAAATATTTACATATTATTATTTTTACACTTTAAAATATGTACACCTAATTATTATTATTGTTATCATCATCAATAATATTATTATTACTATTATTATTATTTATATTATTACATTGATTTATACTTTAAAGTATTTACATCATCATATATTTTTTTTACACGACCAGAACATTTACTATTCCAGGTTTCCCTTTAAACCTGCTTTGACCGTATGCTCCGGGAGACAGAAATAGCCAACCCTTGAGCATGCGATTTATTTAACCCCTCGCCGCCAGGGACCCGAAAAGGAAATCAATGCATTGCAAACGAGCTTGCAGTCAATAAGAGGATAAGTCTCGTGCTAACAAGAGATTAGGATCCTCGGTGTCGCTGAGCCCGCCATGATGCACCCGGACTATGTTTAGCCATAATGTGATTCCCGTCCAGCATGGCGACGGTTAACATGGAGTCTTTACTCATTAATGAGATTGATTTTCCGTTCATGTCATTCTAAATGCACAGTCAATGTTACTGCATAATACCATGAATTATTCACCGCGCGCTGTGTAATGCACTCCCAATGACGGTCACAAATGACTCCAACGGACATCAGATGAAAAGACACCTTGATCTTTTCCTGTGCAGACTGAAGAGACAAAGATGGCTGACCCCAGAGGATTAGCAGTACAAAGAAGGGCTGCGCTGCGTTCCCCTTTAAATCTGACCTCCGGCCTCCCCTGCAGTCTTGCACAGTTGTATCGGATCCTCTCCTCTTCCTCTGATGTCACTGCACACTGGGAGCTCCTCACAATGTGCATTAGAAGCTGCAGCAAGTCACATAGAGCTCCGCCTCATTTCCTGGCTGGAGGACGTCCAGCATCATCTAGCAATCATAGAGGCTCAGCTTCACATGTGGGCGGTCTTCATGCAAATACAGCCTGCCTAGCAGGGGCGTAACTAGAAATCACAGGGCCCCATAGCAAAATTTTGTATGGGGCCCCCCGTGATTGCTAGTCATGCCACTTGCAGAGCCCCAGTGGAGAGTGACCCTGCAGAGCCCACCATAGACTCTATATAGTGGGCTCTGCAGGGTCTGAGATCTCTTGCCTGTCAGCGCCTCTGTGGTCGCCGGGCCCCGACTCCTGTTCCGTCCCCGTGGCTCGAATCCTGTTCCGTCCCCGGGCCCCAAATCCTGTTCCGTCCCTGGGCCCCGGAACCTGTTCCGTCCCCGGGCCCCGAATCCTGTTTCCGTCCCCGGGCCCCGACTCCTCTGCTATCGACGGGCCCCGCCTTCTCTTACATCACTGGCCCCACCTGCTCTTAGGTCGCTGGCCAGTGATGTTAGAGGAGGCGGGGTTGCTCTTAGACGTGCCCCGCCTCCTCCATTCCGAACACCGCCCTCATCTGCCACAGCGGCTGGCTGTCGCTGTCACAGCTCCGCAGCGGCTATAAGGGGAAATGCGCCGCGGCCGCTGCTGAGCTGTGTCTGTGACAGCCAGCACCCCACATGCCATAGCGACCTAGGCGGCCCTGGCCGGGCCCCCCTGTGCCCGGGCCCCATAGCGGCCGCCTGGGTCGCTATGGCGATTGTTAAGCCACTGCTACCTAGGAAAGGCCACTCCTCCACACTGACACCCTCCCATCAAGGCATTGTGATATTTGCATAACTCCCCCCCACTGCTTGACACCATAAAGAGTGCGTTCCAAAGTGTTTGGCCTCTAAAACGCCCTACAACGCAACCCGGCCGGCTCACTTTGTTTTGGGGCGGGAGGGGGCGTGGCAGTGCAGTCACGTGAAGCCACTGGCCCAGCAGCCTTGCCCGCAGTACAATCGCCGGCACTTGAATGCGTGGCACATTAGTGCCGGTGTACCAGTCCAGTGCGAAATTCAAAGCATCCATGTCAGTGCGCGAAGCATCCATGTCAGTGCTCGAAGCATCCATGTCAGTGCTCGAAGCATCCATGTCAGTGCGCGAAGCATCCATGTCAGTGCTCGAAGCATCCATGTCAGTGCGCGAAGCATCCATGTCAATGCTCGAAGCATCCATGTCAATGCTCGAAGCATCCATGTCAGTGCGCGAAGCATCCATGTCAGTGCGCGAGGCATCCATGTCAATGCTCGAAGCATCCATGTCAGTGCGCGAGGCATCCATGTCAGTGCGCGAGGCATCCATGTCAATTAGCGAGGAACCTATGTCAATGCGCGAGGCATCCATGTCAGTGCGCGAGGCATCCATGTCAGTGCGCGAAGCATCCATGTCAATGTGCGAGGTATATAGCGTGTGTAAGACTGACAGTTCCCATAGCCGTGTTTGTCATTTTATCTTCCCGTCATTTACCCGCCACAACGTTCCGTTACCGACATAAATACCGCTGGAGTGTGAAATAGCGGCGACATTCCTTCACACGAAAAAGTTATTAGAGCGACGCGAGTCTTTATATCTGACAAAGTGCTTCATTATCCTCCTCATGTCTGATCTCCGGAGAAGCCGGAACCACGGGACAGAAAATCCCAACAATTGTCTGTGAGAATTAAAACAACAATCGCCGATAATTGCGGACTTATCCTTTAAATGTGTGACATCCAGTGGCAGAGACAATCCCCAGCACAGCGACAGAGACAATATCCGGCACAGCGATGGAGACAATATCCGGCACAGCAACAGAGACAATATCCGGCACAGCAACAGAGACAATATCCGGCACAGCAACAGAGACAATATCCGGCACAGCGACAGAGACAATACCCGGCACAGCGACAGAGAAAATACCCGGCACAGCGACAGAGACAATACCCGGCACAGCGACAGAGACAATATCCGGCACAGCGACAGAGACAATATCCGGCACAGCGACAGAGACAATATCCGGCACATCGACAGAGACAATATCCGGCACAGAGACAATACCCGGCACATAGACAGATACAATACCCGGCACAGCTGATGGCCCCTTAGTTCCAGTGAAGGGAACTCTTAAGACATCAGCATACCAAGACATTTTGGACAATTTCATACTCCTAACTTTGTGGGAGGAGTTTGGAGATGGCCCCTTCCTGTTCCAACATCACTGCGCACCAGTGCACAAAGCAAGGTCCATAAAGACATGGATGGGGGAGTTTGGGGTGGAGGAACGTGACTGGCCGCACAGAGTCCTGACCTCAACCCCATAGAACACCTTTGGGATGAATTAGAGCGGAGACTGCGAGCCCGGCCTTCTCCTCCAACACCAGTACCTGACCTCACAAATGGTCCAACATTCCCATAGACACGCTCCTAAACCTTGTGGTCGCCTTCCCAGAAGAGTTGAAGCTTATATAGCGGCAAAGGGCGGAGCCAACCCAATACCGAACCCTACGGACTAAGACTAGGATGCCATTAAAGTTCATGTGCGTGTAAAGGCGTCCCAATACTTTTGGCAATATAGTGTATGTATGTTCGTATATCTGTCTATGATCAATAGCTCTATCAATCTATTATCCATGAATCCCATAATCTACTTATCAGTGTCTCTATCTACCTATTGATTATCTATCTATAATCTATACACAATATAACCCCATCAGGCAGTTTGATGAATGTGACCGGTCTCATTACCTCTTTGCGGGCTGCGTCCTGCGCGGGGAGTCTGTACGCGGTCCAGTGACCCGGGCTCGGAGACGAAAGGCCGAGATCTTGACTTTGCTTCTGTGGGAAGAGAAAATGTGACAGTGAATGAGGCTGCGGGGCGGAAAGCCGGTGAAATGCTGCGAAGGTTAACGAGGGCGAATCCGCCGCAATAAAATATAAGTTCCGCGATATCCGGGAGCGCTGTGCTGACCGGGCACAATTTTTTATGTCACCCCTGCCAGCATTTCAATCAATCAAATGGGCCCATTAATTAAGGCTGAGGAGGGGGATGGGCCCGTGAGATCACCTTGTCTAATGTCCGCAGGTGAGAATGTGAGCGATAGCGGCTCTGGTTTTATAATATGGCGGCTCCGGTGTGGGGTCACATGTAGCACCCAGACTGACATCTATTTTATACAATAATCAAATAGGGTCAAATGAAATCAATGTCGATAACACAATCCAGATAACACTGAAGCTGTGCTAAAGTGGAAAAGGCCTCTTCATACAGGAGGTGCCATAGCAGCTGATAGTAGGGCTGCTGATTATCTGAAGCTTTCCAAAGACCGGCACAATGCCTCCTCCCGCTGGGTTCCCTGCACTCGGTCAACTGTGGTATTCCAGGTCACATGACCAAACACAGGGAACGTATGGAGAAGAACCACCATTGCTGGCTCTCTGTAGACTGTAGCTGCCCTGTGGGTGGGCAGAAAGAATGTGGGGTGCCCTGTAAAAGGGGAGGATGTGAGAAAGTGTGGATGCCTGGTACAGGGAAGGGGCAGCAGTAAGGAAGCTGTGGGTGCCCAGTATACAATCAGGGGCAGTATGGAGGTGTGGGTTCCTAATACAGAGGGCAGTATGGAGGGTAGGGGTTATTAGTACAGGGGGTCAGTCAGAAGGGTAAGGGTGCCCAATATGGAGGCAGTATGAAGGGTGAGGGTAAGAGGCATAATGGAGTGTGGTGTTGCCTTATACAGGGGAAGTGTGAAGGGTGGGTGTGCCTAGTACAGGAAACAGTAAAGAGGGTCGGGAGGCCTAGTGTAGGGGGCATTAGGGAGGGTGGGGTGCCTAGTGTAGGGGGCATTAGGCAGGGGCAATATGGGGTGTGGAGTACCTAGTAAAGGGGGGCAGTAAGGAGGTAGGTATGCGTAACACAGGGGCATTATGACGAGTGGAGGGGTGGCTCGTGCAAGGGGCAGTAAGAAGGATGGGGTTGCCTAACACAGGGGCAGTATGGAGGGTGAGGGTTCCCAGTACAGGGGCAGTATGAAGGGTGAGGTTTCCCAATACAGGGGCAGAAGGGAGAGTGAGGGTGTCCAGTACAGGGGCAGTGAGGAGGGCGGGGTTGTCCAGTAAGAGAACATTAAC